GAGGGAAAGTTAATTTTCGCGTGTATTGTCGTGGAACAACAGTAAAGGGTGCAGAGTGGGTAGCCTGGTAGGTAGGTCTTGTGTCACTCTACAGGCAACTGGTAACATAACAGGTCTTGTCTTCCACATACGATTGATATCTGGAGAAGCCATTCCAGACACCCCAATTGCAAAAACACCAGTAATAAGGCATCTTCTTCTTTGATCAGGATCCTCTGCCAGTCCCGGCCTCAGGTGGTGCTTCACACAAGGTATTGCTGTCCTTGGCGACATTAGATTCGTGTTAGCATCAGCGTCCAGTATAAAGGCATGGCTCTCTCGTTGATGCGACGCCTGTGACTCGGAACTCATATCCACGATACCCCCAGCACCGGCTTTAGAAATGGCCAAAGCGGTGGCCGCTTCATAGAAGAGGCCCTCCTTCTGCAACTCTAGACCAGGTGGCAATTGTGGCACTGGATAACCCTCGGCTGTTAGGGAGGGTATTGCGAAGCCTGCGTCCACCAGTGTTACGGCTTCTCCGAGAAAGCTGGCCTCGGCACTCCGCGACCACCGGACAGTATGGACGCGAATATGCCATCCCGGAAAATGTTCTGCGATCGGCACCACTGTACTCTCAATCTCCAGATCTAGTGCTTTCCAAGGTTTCCAAGTGCAAGTCAACCCCTGCACGTGGTCGTCTTTCAATGAGATGGTCTCAATTTTCGTGTCGCTCAGATTCCTACCACGAACCTGCCACGTCTGCTCGCCATCAATGCTGATGGAAAGCGTACTGTCGGGTGCAGACTGGCTCAGTGTGGTCCCCGATGGCACACTGAAGCCGAACGACGAGGAGTAGGCAAACTTTGAGTATTTTGCGTCGTTTCCCTTATGTGGCCACGCTGTCATCTGCCCAGACGACAACAAGTAATGATGCTCAGGGGTGCTGTTGATAATCTGCCGCGGTGGCCGTAACAACTGGCAGACCTCAAGCGTCCCTGGACTCTGCTGAAGGGGATGTGGTAATTCTTGACATTGCCAAAACTCATGGCTCTCAGGCAGCATGAGAGCAATACAGCTCTTCAAACACCAGTACACAGACTGGGGGGAGTTGTAATTCTCGGCAAGATACATGTTGGGGTATGCGAACCCAATGTTTAGAATACCATCCGAGTTGAACATATCACCATGACGCGTCCACCAACGTAGATGGCGCAAAAGCATTCCTTTAACAGTACCGATGCCGTCCATAGGCGGCGGCAGCTCAACTCCCGCGACTGCTGCAGCGCTCCAGAATGCGGCAAAGGCAAATCGATATGTCTGACTGCGGCCAAAAGGAATTGCAGCCCCTAGTCAAGGTCATATTAGCTGGGTAGGAGGCAAGCAGACCCCGATAAGACTCACCATTGACGTCAAAATATCTCCAATAGCTCAATGAAAGCTCCTTTGCCTGCTGTCTGTATTTCTGGACACGGTCTTGGTCTCCCTCGGCAAACCGGACGTATAGAAGCTGCGCAAAGTGAATTGCAAAGCTACTAGAGTAGTAGTCAGCCTGCTTTCTGTCTTCCGTCCAAAGTCCGTCGCTTGACCATCCGTCGCCCATGTAAAAGCTATCCAATAGAGAAAAGTCCATCTTCATCACGTCGTCTACCTCGTTTCTCGGAACTCCCAAAACTTGTGTCAGCGTCATGTTGACGAAGAGGCGGAACCAGCGCCAATTATTTTGAGGCATGTCTTTGCTATTGATTTGTCTTAGCCATCTTACCAGGTCGGCCTTTGTCTTACCACTCATTCTGGAGAGAAAAGCTTCAGGCGATGTAAGTATGGCGATGCAAATCGACTCGGTCTCTACCATTCTCTGATCAAAATCGCCAATGTCGCCCCAATACTCATCACCATCAACATCAACTCCGGCCGCCAGACCCTGGCACCACCGGTCCAAGGTCACTGCATCTTCAAGGATCGCAGAGACTCCCAGGAGAGGTCTACAAAACCCCTCAATTTGGGCAGCAACGTCGTCAAAACCGGCGCAAGAAGCCGGGTGAATCTTGACGCGGGCGCCGAGACGGGAGCGGTACCGCTCGATAGGCGAGATGAGAGCTTTCACGGCCACGACGAGATCTGCACGTGTGCGCAAAGGGTTGTCTGAGAACCCTTTCAAACCAGTCATGTTGGTGAGGGCAATTGGAAATACTTTGCTAATCTGAGCAGCTTGCTATAGAAGACAAGACACGAGAAATGCCCTGATTCAAGGCGGCAACGACCAACTAGACATGTGTGCGCAATTTATTAATCATCCACTTGGATGGATGATCAAGCGGGGCCGCTCGGAGCTCGGAGCAGTTGACGGAGCATCCAACTCCGGGGTTTCACCCTGGGTGGGGGCGTTGGTACGAATCAATGGATTGCAGATCCAAATCATCCTCAGAGAACAAATTGTAGGTCTCCTGACCAAGTCTGTATTTGATGAATGATGCGCACATTTCGGGCTTCGGCCCATCCATGGGTGATCAGGTTAACAATCCTCCGAACTGTGCGGAGTATGATGTTTTCTCCCGGCGACAGCCTCGATTTACCGTGTATATGTAAAATGAGGATGGCTCTCGACAGGTGCCTGATGAATTATCTCAAGAATACGTCTAGAACAGAGCCAACTCCAGTATTCTCACCCGTCAATGATTGACTCTTCTGTCTATTTCCCCTTCAAAATGGCTAACCATCAATCCATCAAAATGACTTTTGAAATCACTCCTTGCTCTCAAGAGGGCGCGTCAGCGGGCTCGGGGATGGGAGGCCCCTCCTTTCTCCCCGAGTCGAGTGAGTCGAGCAAGTCGACAACAGTCTTGCATGACACGCCTTTATCCCCACCAGCCCAAATGACGGCCACTACGTATCCCAAAACGACAATTGGCCAAGATTTGTCAGAGCTTTTCGCTGAAAACGTGGTCGCAAAGCTTTACAGAACTGCCATTGAGCCTATAATGTATTCCAATGACAGCGGAGCACCGAGCCTTGACTTCATCCCCAACGCGTATCCAGAGGAAGTGCCTCAAGACGGCGCCGAAAAAGGTCACTATGTGATGAGGGAACCCGAATTTTGGACTTCTGGATTCTTTCCGGGGTCTCTCTATTGTCTGCTCGAGCGATTGGTTCGATACCCGAAAAGCGTTCGATTGTCGCCTCAATTTTCCCTTTCTGGAGGCTCCGTGGACATTGCCCGGATCCGGTCTGACTTGCAGTCGCTATGTCGCTCATGGACTAAGCCACTGCACGCCATGGCCAGTAGGACAGACACCCATGATCTGGGATTCATGATCATGCCGGCGCTGCAGAGAGACTGGGAGCTCACTGGTAATGCCGAGAGCTTGGACACTATATTACAAGCGGCAGATAGCTTGGCTTCCAGATTTGTTCCCTCGGCTGGGGCTATTCGAAGCTGGGATGAGCGCATTCAGAAAAACATTCAGATCACATGCCAAGAAACAAACTGCATTCTCATCATCGACAGCATGTGCAACATGGATCTTCTGTATTATGCCGCCAGTCACTCTCGCGACCACGAGCGTCTATGTGCAATCGCCACTACCCACGCCACCACTCTCCTTCGAACGCACCTCCGACCAGAGCCTCAAGTAGTAGTTTCTGAAGATGCCTATCGTGGCCAGTGGTACTCCTCGTACCACGTTGCCAATGTCGATCCCAAGACCGGTCTCATCAAGCAGCATTTCACAGCACAGGGCTATTCGGATCCATCAATCTGGGCTCGTGGCCAGGCATGGGGAATACTTGGCTACGCACAAACGTATATGTGGACAAAGGACAGGAAGTTCCTGCAGGCCTCATGTGGTCTGGCAGAGTATTTCCTCTACCGGCTAGAGACCAGTCCTGGCTGTGTGGAGACGAGAATCGGTGAAGGCATGGTTGACAATTCCACGGGCCGGCATCGTCGTGGACGTCATGTACCACTATGGGACTTTGATGCCCCCATAGGCGACCCAGCTAATCCGTTAAGGGACTCCTCTGCTGGGGCGATTGCTGCTGACGGAATGCTGGTCTTGTCTCAAGGTCTGGCCGGTCTAGGTTACGACCATCTCGCCACAAGATTCCGAAACGCCTCTTTGGACATTATGAGGGACCTTGTCAATTTTTCGCTGGCGCCCGAGAAGGCTGAGATTGTGCGTGGCGCAAATGGCCAAGTTGAGGTTAGAGATGTCTCCCCAGGTCATACCTTTGCCGGTTTATTGAAGCATGGGACGGCCAACAACAACGAGAATTCCCTCAGGGTGTACGCAAATCATGGTTTGGTTTATGGCGACTACTATTTCATGGAATATGGTAACAGATTGTTAAGTATGGGTTTGGAATAGATTTCTAGATAGCCGTAATCCTGCCTCTCGCTTGCGCGCTCCCAGTTCCTACAGAATCTGATTTTGGGTTCTGCACTTCGTACCGGCCGAAGGGTAATCTCAATACTATGGGTGCGACTCAAGATCCAGATTCATCTATTCGTGTGTACAGTGTTATAGAGTATATTTTGGCAGGTGGTACAGATGGGCCATACCGTCACGGTTGTCACTGATGTAGAGGCTGGAGTTGGCGGCATCCGCCGTGCAGCCGAAGGCATGATGAGCTTGGAAAAGCTAGTTCTGAAGCATCCTTTGAGTAGTTATTTCTTAACCTGAAAGTTAGTGAGTGGGTATGCTAGCTAATACAATATCAGACTTGATAGATATGGCTTCCAAGATCAAGGTCATCCAGACCAATGAAGGTGCAATCTCTAGCTACGACAAAATCCTCCACGCCATATTTCATTAATATGCAGACAAATACACAGCCAAATTTTGTCACTTATATTGGATTTGGAGATAGCAACTGGCCCGGATTTCCTTCTCGTGTGTGTAAGGCGCGTGATGTGAGCCATCAGCTGTGGGGATTATCAACTCAAAATAACACTGTTATCAAAGAGGATTTCGTTCTCGGTTACATACTGCCATGCACATTTGTCCTCCACTCTTGCAACATCACGCAGCCTTTCCGTCCCGAGTCATTTCAACCTCTTCAACTCGCGCGTGATCCGATGCCTTCATGGCTGCATCATTTGCCGCCTCGGCCAACTCCTTGTCTTCAAAGAGGAATGCCAATTCCTCTAGCGTTCTTCCTGACGTTTCGGCAAAGAAAAAGTAGACGAATGCAATCTCGAGGGCTAGAATGACACAGTAAGAAATAAAATATTTCCAACCAATATTTTCAAGCCCAATTGGGTTAATAAATGTCGTTGCGAAGCTAGCACCGCGGCTGAAAAATTGCTGCAGGGCAATACCTCGTGATCGTTCAGCGTAGGGCCAGATCTCTACCAGATAAGCTGTTGCGTCATTGTCAGCCCCTAGCCGCAGCTCAAAAAGGAGAATGGTCACTTACTGTACGTCAAAGCGTTATAAAAGATCTGGTACGCAGGCTTGTATGCAAATATCAAGAATAGAACTGCCACAGCCGCACCATTGTTTCGTCTTCCAGCGTTTATAGCGGCAGTCGCCCTCTCCATAGCCACAGTCCAAGCGACGTAGATGACCAGCATGCTAATGGTACACATATATGCTGCTGTCACGCGTTTCAACCGAACGCATGTCAAGACGATGACGACACCGCACACAAGGCTCCAGCACGAAAGCGCTACATTGATCTGCTGTTTGAAAATGGACGAGTTGCGCCCAATCATTTCAAGAATATCGTTAAGATAGTACGAGATGAGCGTGTTGCCCGACCATTGCGTAAATAACCCGAGGCCTGCAGTGATCAAGGTGCGGCGCCGCATCCCGGCCGTTCTGATGAGGTCCATGTGTGACTTGCTTGAGTGCTCCATCTCAAGCTGGATGATTGTCTGCATGTGAGCAAACTCTGCCTTGACAAAGTTGGAGTCGCGGTTACCCTCTGCGTGATATTTGGCCAGGATGCCATACGCCTCTTCGCTACGGTCTTTGCTAATGAGCCAACGGGGGCTTTCTGGAATGAAGCTAGGGACTCGTTATTATAGAGGCATATGGGCCTGATAGATGTAGACTTACAAGATCAATGCCATCTGGACCAACGAAGGTGCCATCTGCAGCCAAGACGGAATCTTCCACGCCATATTTCCAGTAATGCTATTCGTTCCGAAGCAGATGGCGGCAGCTGTGATTTGACCAAAGTAAAAGGCGACATTGAAGAAGCAGGTGAGGTATGCACGCTCTTTGGGGTAGCTAAGCTCACCGATGAGGGAAGATCCGGACACGATACACGCCGGGATGCCAAAACCAAGTAAGATTCGAGCGGCAATATACATGCCAGCTGACATTAGTTAGCACAACCCTCAAATATCTCGCACTTCAGTCTCACCATTTACCGAAAACCCCTGCATAATGGAGCCAATGACCATGATGGCAGACCCCCCAAAGATTGACCATCTTCGACCAAGTTTGTCGTTTATAACGCCAATGAAGGGGAGCGAGAGCATCGCGCCAAGCGAGTAGGCAGCGGCAATGATACCTTTTAGCTCACCAGTGAACTCGCCATTGGGACGATCGGCAAAGTCTAGGTATATAAGTGTCTGATACATTATCATATGAATACTGAAACTTGCAGGTTTGCCACGCTGGCACAATTTGAAGAGCATTGATCATCTGTGAATCAAAGCCAGAGGTGAGCTCGATTCCCATACATGTTGGGAAAAGCATCAAGTAAAGATAGCGCAGGTTTGGTTTGTTGTACCAAGGTACGCGATCCTTGTCTGCGATTTGTTGGATCAGCGGATCGGCCGCGCCAGTTTGTGCCTTTCGGGATGTTGCCATGATATCTTAGGATCTCTGGTAATCAAGTTAGAGTTAGAGAATACACAAGATATAGCAAACAATTTAGCAACCAGCGAAGTCCTTTTTTAAATGTGAAAATCCTTTAGAGGCAACCCCCATGATGTAGCAAATCCCCCCGCATTAACCTCTTGGGGGTCTGGGGTAGGTATGCTCACACACACTAACATTTATGAGGTGACATTCCCTTTCCCCTCAGTTTGCACTATGCTGCTCCCTAAGGTTAGTGTTCCCCCACTTCAAGTGCCACTAGTGCCGGAGGTCGGAGGAGTCTCTGCCATATTCCCCTCTTCGGACGGATCATTACACCGAACTCTGATCTTGACATTCGCAACTGCACACGACCCAGGGTCAAACTCACCGCAATTGGACGAAACATAGACAGCGCAAGGGATCATCGACCTGTCTCGACTTACAAAAGAGCTCGTACAGTAACCAAGGCCAAGCATCAACCGGCCTTCGGAATAAGTCGCGACAGGTCTTGAGACACGCTGTGTAGCACACGCTCATCTTGCGGTCCATTCATTCTCCGTACGCGACGGTTTCCCCAGACTATGACCAGCCCCAGCCAAGTTCACGACCAGCAAGAGTGTGGGGGAGGTAACCCGGGAGCCGGAATTGCATGGTAAGGTTCTCCGTTGTTGTTCATCTCTCTCTGCTCAAGCCCTGTCGAGTCGTAAAGCCTGCGACCTGTAGGGTATCCCGCTCGTCTACTGACATCACCAATTCCAACAGTAATGGTTGTCGCAAGGCTAAGCTTCGCTGCTCTCGAGACCGTCCAGCATGTTCTCACTGCATCAAGATTGGTGCGTTGATACATATTTCCCCACATGTGGATTGTATCATTGACAACTGGATAAGAGCAAGAATGTGTATATGAAATCAGGAGAGCGAAACCAGGCATTAAGGCTGGCGCCATCGAGAACATCCAAAGGCGTCTAGGTATGTATTACCTTTGAACTCTCCCAATTTGTGCGCTGACATCTCCCTCAAGATGCCCTTGAGCAGCGTTTGAGTCAGGAACCCTTGAGCTCATCGGCTAGCACCACGCAGGACGACCGGCAGCGGTTCACTGCTGACCGGGTCGAAAGTCCAGCCGAAAGTGTTCTCGCCTTACTAGCTAATGAGCTCCCCAAGCTTATTGCGTCTTCAAAACAAAATGTCCGAAGTTCCCAGGCTTCTATGCGAGGTTCCAGCAAAAGGCGTCGTTCCAATGGCACAGATATTGGCGAGGGCTCTGAATTCACTGAAAGTGATCCGCCTTTACCGTCTTTTAGAGCGCTCGAGTCCTACATTGACACCTACTTCACTCATGTCCATCCCTGGATACCCATGCTTAACCAAGATCGGTTTCGCCAACGCATGGAAGATCCCAGCGAACTACCAAAGCTCAAGGTCATACTTCAGGCACTTGTTATGATAGCATCCAGGTATTTACCCCAGGAGCTTGGGTTGAGCGAAATATGGCCAGTGGAAAAAACACGAGAGTGGGTCATTTTAAGGTCAATGGAAAGCAATACACTGGAAGGCTTGCAGGCTTTGATTATCATAGTTTTTAACGATGTGAGTAGAAGGCCTCTCTCTGATGCAAGCGTCAACGCTAATGGCGCGTAGATTGGAAGCGGGGATGCTGACCGCTCCTGGGCCATCATCGCATCGCTGAGCCGAAAGGTCGAGTTTCTCCAGCTTACCATGGACCCCGAAGACGAAGCAGCCCAGCCCATTTGCAGACCATTCTCATACTTAGGGCCAGCCAAGGATTGGACCGACCAGGAGGAAAGGCGCCGCGTCTTTTGGAATGTCTTTCTACTTGATAGGTATTGCTCCATCACCATGGGCTGGAATACGAGCCTAACCTCTGTCGATGTTCACCAACGACTCCCATGTGATGGTATTTTGTGGCGCAAACAAGAGGCGGTTCAGACGCCTTATCTCGGCATTTGGGATAAATCAACAGGGGGCATGGGCAACATGGCAGCAAGCCGCTCTCGTCGAGATGTCGAGACGCCTGACCAGACAGACCGGCGAAATCAGATTGAGTCTGACCCAAACGAAAGCGACGTGTCGCAGATAGGAGCATTTGCTTACAGCGTCGAGGCCACCGAGTCAATGAGTAGAGTCACGACGTACTTCCTGCAGCATCGCTTTGACCCCAGCAACCCAGACGCAGTCAGCTCTTGGCTTGCGCGGTTTAAAGAGCTTGACCTGCGTCTTGTTCAGTGGAAGATTTTCTTGCCCAAGAAGTGGAATTTTAGCGTTTTGAGACAGGCCTCACGAATGGACCCCAACCTCACTCTCGCCCACGTCATCCATAATGCATCTACAATTCTACTTCATCAAGTCATCGCATGGCCACGACCGTCGTGGCCGTTCAGAAAACGATTGCCTAGCGTATGGAGCGCTGATACTTGTTGCTCTGCTGGTGTCGAGATATCAACAATTGCTCACAAGTATCTGGAAAGTACGCCGGATCCTTTGCCTATAACCAGTCCGTTTGCGTTCTGTTTATATATCGCAGCTAAGATGTTGCTCATCCATTGGAAGAGCGACCCTTCGAACGATCGTTTGGATGATTTTCAATCAATAACACAGAGCTTGCAAGAAATGTCCAGACGTTGGAATGGCGCAAGCAAAGAGCAGCCAAAGGACCTCGCTTTCAAATATGCTACTAAGCTAAAGGACATGTACAAGCGATGCCAGGAGGATCAAAGCTTTAAGATTATTGTGTCAGACTATACCCAGGAGATGGAGCATCGAACTTGGGATCATATGCCAGAAAGTGTGACCGAGACAAGGAACGCCCAACAGTGGCCTAATGCATTAGAGCTGCAACAACCTTGGCAGTCTCAACTGACGGCAAACAGCACCACATCGTACCCTCCACGTTCGTCGCCAGTCCAATATCAAGATGCGGGTAGAAATCAGGGTTCTATGGACAACACTGGCTCGGACATTTTGAATGATGCGACTGGAATGATTTCCAGGCAATTCATGCCAGTAGAAGAATACTTCATGGACATGGATCGTGTTATTGCCTTTGATGATGGAAGTCTCTTTATGGCTGGCCTGGATAATGGAGCTTGGTAAACTACCTAGATATATATTAAATTAGATATATAATAATATATATCTATTAAGCTGTAAAGTCTATATTAAACTTAGTCCTTTAAGTATTATTAAACTATTAAGAATTATAATTAAAATGCTATATATTATTTATAATTAACTTCTTTTTTAATAATATTTCCTTTAAGCTTAATAATAAAATACTTATTAAGATAATAGACTTCTCTTTTAATATGTACTTAGACTGGCTTCTAGAGCCTTTAAAATAGCGGAATTACAAACTCCGTGCCGGGCAGGAGATCCAGTTCAAGTGACCTAATAGCCAAGGTGATATTCAACGAGTCCAAACTCCCCGCATCCAGACTACGGGGATTGTGGGGAAAGAAAATCTTTGGTTAAAGCTAGCTAAACCACTAGCAAGGTTCAAGGTGATGTTATCCTTGTCATTTGGGCTGTGAGTCTCCCAATCGGAGTAACATAGCCCGCACATGAGCGGCCGATGAGAGACATATAATAGCCCAAGTAATAAACATGAAATAGTGATAGAATTAATACAATTCCTTCAGCCTCATTGATCTTTTTGGCACAATGGTTCACGTTCTTTTGCTCGCAAGCCTTGGTTTGGGTAGTTCTGTTCTGGCAGCCCCTAATTATGCTGTTCCAGATGTCCAGCCAAAAAATGCCGTCGCGATTGACCCGGCACCCGTGGGAGCCTCGTAAGTCTCAGAGTCTGAACGTGTTTACGGGAAGATTTTAACGATGGGCGCAAGCTTCGAGTTCTTCATTTGGCCTTCTTATATGACCAATATATCCTTGACGCTTCCTTGCATGAGTCACTTTAATAAGCTGTACAATTGCAAAATGCCTATCCGAATTGGAGGAACTACCCAAGATAGAGCTACCTACGATCCTGATCTTAAAGGTTACGTTTCATATAGTGTCAATGACCCTCTGGAGGCTCCCATGAGTCTGACCTATGGGCCCAAGTTCTTTGACTTGATTAGTATGTCAACCTCTTATATCTGGGCCGACTTACGCTCATTCATACACCAAAACAGAGAAGTTCGGAAGCGAGACTATTCTTGGTAAGCAAACTGGCTTGTGAGAAGTGAACTGTGCTGATATGTCAAAGGCTTCAACAGAGGCCTCAACAATAGGACAAATACTTTTGCAGCCGTTTTGAAAGCTAAGGAAAAGGTGGCCAAGTACCTTTGGGCAATCGAACTCGGAAACGAGCCAGACTGTAGGATCTCTCACCAACACCCACCATGTGCCAAGCAGAAGGAATTTGCTGACTGTTACTCATAGTGTATTGGAAATACTGGCAATACCCAGTAGCCGAAGCGCCCTGGAACGAGACTCAGGAGGGCAATAACGCAGCTGACTGGGCCCAAGATTTTGTTAATCACTGGAAGAGCCCTCTTCCCATCTTGGCTGGTGGCGGATATGCCATCCCGTTCGAGATTGAACCCGACTGGCCTAATCTTCCCTATCTAATTGAAAGCAGCTATAACAAGACAGTCAAGGATGCTACCAAGGTGTACAATGGCCACTTGTACGCATTTTCAAATGCTACCGCCGATGACCTGGGCCCGGAAATGAAGCATCAGAGGGTTGTTCAGGACCTGAACCTGCTGCCAATCTCTAGCGCTAAGGCCGCCGGAAGGCCATATATCCTAGGTGAGACGCGGTTTGCTACTTGTAAGACCTGCACCTACTGACATACTCACTCAGGCGAGACGGGATTCCATGGGCTTGACTACGAGATGGATTCGACTTTTGGATCGGCCATTCAGACAACTGACAAGACCCTTCGCGCATTGACTCTCGGAATCCAGCGACTGTTCTACCACCAAGGCACCATTAATCAAGGTGAGTCCAAGAAACGTTCCCGATGCTCTGATAGTTCTGACTGACCCCGAAGCTTTCTTCAACTGGTGGTGGAGTGATCATGTCAACGCTCCATTCTATGGTGCCTACTTCGGTGCTCTCGCTGTAGCTGGGGGAGACTACATCGTTGCTAGCGACGATGGCACTGACCCCTATGCTCAATACATCGTGTACAAGAACGGCAAAGCATTCAAGGTCGTCTTGATCAATACGGACTACTACTCTGGAGGTGGTACGCGCTCTGAAACCAAGTTCACTCTTACTGGGCTGAAGAGCAATTCGGTCAAGGCCCTTCGTATGACCGGACCAAGCAGCGAAACAACTGTACCTGTTACGCAAACCAAGTCATCTCCTCAACCTAGCATCGGAGGTTTGTCCCAATTATCTATCCACTATAGGAACTTTTACTGACGGTTTATGCAGGTCAATCCTTCTCAAACAAGAACTGCGAGTTGAGCGGAAAGCAAAACACTGAAAGGCTTTCAGTCAAGAAGAGTAAGTTGGAAGTGACTCTGAAGGCTTCTGAAGCACTGATTGTTTATCTCTGATGAGGAACTGCAATCATTGTATTAAGGCAATGTGGGGATTAATGTGATTTCTTTCTTCAAGGCTGTAAGGCAGCTGTTTATGTATCAAAGACACCGCGATGCGATATTATTAAAAAGATAGACTAAAAACTCTTGCTCTAAAGCAATACGGTCGAAGTCTTATTCTTATCTCAAACGACTATATGGAGGAAGAACCTCTCCCGATTGTTCGTATTCACTATCGAGAGTCATCTTGTCATCTCAGAACTTCGTGTTCGCACTAAAGGATTGCTAATGCACTTACGGGGTTTAGCTGGTCGGGATATTGAGCATTTTCAAGCCCATTGGCTACCACCTGGAGCGGTGCCACGAGAGAAATCGTAGTGCCATAAGCGCCTATGGCTAGGGTGACTCGAATTCGATAGGTTCGGCTGACCATACAGGAGTAGAATGTAGGAAGGAACAGATAGTTGTCGGTGGGAAGCTCGAATGACTGTGACAGGGACGTTTTGTACGCTCTAGATTTGGATGAATCAAAGTCCGAATGGGAGGCGCACGAGGTTGAACGTGACGCGGAGTGAGGCTCTGCACAGTCTTTTAAAATGTGCACAGGCTCTGAGGACCTCCTGTCCGATTCCTTATCAGAGACGAGTGGGTGGTCTTTCTGCCAGTTCACCGTTTCTTTCCCCCTGAGAACAAGGGCGTTCGAGGTCTCCCACGGTGCTGCTGAAGCAACTGAATTTGATGGCCTCTCATGGCGATCGGGCAAGTAACCATCTATACCAAGCCAGAAGTTTGTAGAAGTTTCGATGGTGGCCGACTTGACCCGTATCTCTGGCATTACTGCACTGGTTGACACAGGAATGTATTCTAGATCGATAGGTATTTGGGAACCGGAAGCGTTGAGTCCATCTAAGCAGAGGAGAATAGGCTCTGGCTGAGTGACTGACGCGCATACAACCCCCGTCTTTGTGCCAATGACACCTTTTCTAATCGTCTTACTTTGGGACAAGCAGTAATCTGAGTTGTCGGGACTGATATGAAGAGGAGGTTGCTCAGGCAGTGCTGGAATAATCTTGACAGAGCGACTCTGATCTAGGTACTGTTCCCTCCCTTGTTTGTTCTTGCTCAGCACAAGACGTGCTCTGATCACATAATCGATGTTTGCAGAACCGCCTACAAGGTCGTCACGATCCCAAGAACCCATTGTAGGCGGTGGCTGTAGGTGTCGCTCCCTGACTGCTCTGTTCTGGTGGTTGCATGCAGTAGATGAGAGCTGCTCGGGAATCGCGAATCGAAAAGGGACGTGGTACAACTTTCCTGGCTCAAACGACTGGCTGACAGGTAGAGCTGATGCGGATATTGGCATTTGTAGCTGCATAAAAACATGAGTCTTGAAAGGTGTGCCATACTGGAATGCGTGGCCACATGTTGAAGTGATGCCTCTTAGATCAATCTGGAGAGACTGAAAAGGGAGTTGATTGTGGGCTGTTATTGTAACAAATCCCGAGATTGTAGAACCGAATGTATAGACTTTAGACTCATAATGGTCATGGATGTCGATTTCAAGGGTAGGGTCCTGCTTGGCGCGTGATGAAAGCAAGCATCGTGAAGGCATGATGACAGTAATATGGGAGTTTTCGATTTCACGACTCTTGGTTATTGGATGTAATTAGTTGCTACGACTCAACTCCCTTCACTCTATATATAGCAGGCTGAAGACTGCTTTTGTATCGCACGTTTATAAGCAAACGGTGATATGACGCCCTTTGTGACAATATCCAGGTGCGTCTGGGCTGAAGCAGACTCTCTGATTGGCTGTTTCGCCGCGGACTGAAGAAGCGCTAGTTGGAGCGCTCTGACGTCCTGGGCTAGAGCCTGCCGTGATTGGTTCACTTCCCCGAGGCCCGGGGTTATCAGTGAGTTTGATTGGCTAGATTCGCCGAGACTCGGGATAAACAATTAGAAATCGATGTCAAGATGACATGTCGCCGCATTGCAAATCTGTATCTGTACTTTACACAAGCTCTTTTACGATCTTGGATACCTGTAACCAGCATCAAACTGAGAGAGCTAAGTTGATAGCAGTCAGTGTTATCCACATCAGAATGCTACGCCACTGAAACGCCTCTTTCCATCACTGATGACAGGGATTGAGCGAAATTAGACGAGCGCCTGTTTTTCTTATTTTTGCAAAAGTACCAACGGCAGTCCGTGACCGACTGGTGGACAACCTGATATCCTTGATGATTGACAATTTCTCTGCAGTAACTTCTTATAACTGTAACAGAAATGCCTTGTGATCGCCCCCGGTCGCAGAATATAGCGGCCAAGAGGTCACATTTGCCTCGTGCGGATGGACCTGTAAGTGAGTTACCCTGCACTCTGTCCCCTCATATCGCTCAATTGCTGACCATTACCTGAAGGGCGAGCTTGCATCAACTGCCGCCAGCGAAAGATTCGCTGCGATATAGTCGATAAAGGCGTTCCATGTACGAACTGCAGCACTCATGGCCGATCGGGATGTCGCATGTGTCCTAACAAAAAGGACACGAGACAATCATCAAATCGACCAGCCATCCTTGCTCCTCTCCGTCCTCGAGAAGCGACAAACTCACCAGCGGCCCCATCACCTACACTCACTGAGCCTCTCTCCACTGCAAGGGAAGATGGCGAGCAAGATCTCGGATCTCACCTCTTGAACCGCAATGACAAGACAGAGGTTGAGCTTAGCAAGGTCGAGCTCGGCCATCGGACTCGCTGTCATTTCATTGGATCCGAGCTCTCAAACTGCCATTACCTCGTGCGACAGAGTACCTCTGAGACCGGACTTGATAAGGTCTTTCACTTCGGCAACGGACAGTTGGACTCTTCCGAGAATTGGTATGAAGCACATAATATCCCAGAAGAGATCCTTATACGGCCCAGCAAGGCTCTTGAGATGAGACTGATAAGAGCTTATTTTGACCTCGTCAACCGTGGGTGGCCAATTGTGGACGAGGAGCTATTCATGACCCAATACCAGGAGCAGGATCGCATGAACCCCCTCTGCTTGACGCTCCTCAACGCCATCTTACTCGTTGGAGCTCACACGCTAGCGTCTCAAGACGAAAATATGCTTCCTCTACTTCCTGCCTTTTTCCGAAGAGCCAAATATCTGGTCTTGAGTGATTCATGGCATGATAGGCTTGTTTATGTTCAGGTGCCTCTGCTGTTGACGTGGTATTCTGACGCCAACGCATGGCACTGGATTGGAATTGCTATCAGGACGGCAATGGCCGTAGGTCTCCATCGCGACGCTAGTCACTCCACGAACCTACCGGTCTACAAGCGAAAGTATGTCCGGCTCTGGTGGGTTCTCTTCCAGTTTGACACAATCTCAGCGACCTCAGCTGGTCGGCCTCAAGCCATGTAAGTCCATCATTAGACTATAATTCTCTGAGACGAACCCACTAACTATGTCAGAAACCTATGGGACTCAGATGTTGCCGACCTGAAGCCTGCTGATCTCGAAGGGATTCCTGGGGCAGAGTTTGAGTTCATCACCTATCACACCAAACTTTGCAAGATTATATCGCAGACCATAAGAGATGGATGGTCACCACGAGCTTCCATGGAAGCAAGAGCTGAGGCCATAAAGAGAGCAGATGAATCTCTCGGGAACTTGATGCTTGAGCTTCCATCGAGGCTGCAATTGAAACTTTCCGACCTTGATATCTGGCAGTCTCTGTTTCACCTGACTCATCACAACTTTATCCTGCTGATACACCGACCAGCACCAAAGCCCGGCATCAGGGATCAATCCCTCGAGGCACAAGAAAATGCCATCCTTTGCAGGGAATCAACAGTAGCGATTGCGTCTGTTTTCGAGGTTCTACTCAGTAAAAGTATGATCTCGTCACTATGGTTATACAGCAACCATGTTCTGTTCACAGCAACTATCTACATTTTGAACCAGATCAGCACAAGCAAGCCGCTGCTAGCTGCCAAATCACGACACATACTAGACACGTTTCTTGCAGCTCTACGAGAGCTGGTAAAGTATTGGACTTATGCGAAAGGGTTGATGCAGGTTCTTGAACAGAGGGCCTCCAAGGTCAGGGAAGAGAGAGTTGAAAAGGCGTCTACGAGACTGCAACATGTTGCACCGTCTGGGCAACATCACCAACAACTCGCTGATCCTCAGCTGAATGCTCAGGGTCGCCCATCCTCATATGGGCATGTAAACGAGGATTCACCTATGTGGAGTAATCAAAACGGTCAAACAGTACTGAACACTGCCTTGGCTGATTTGATTTCGAATTCACAGCCCACAACTACCGACTTCTATCCAAGCACAGGTTTTCTAGGATCTACCCAAGACCCTTTATTAGATGATTTGTTCATGATAGACACTTCTGCGCTTGATTTATTTTTCTATGAAGATACGCAATAGGAAGTCAGAAAGAGACATAGATGAGATGTTTACATCAGTGCACGGATAGATCGACACAATTTAAAGACCTTGATACTCGATTATCGCATAGCGGCCATGCGTACTAGTCTTGGGCTTACCTCGCAATTATAGATAATTTCGTTATCAAGAGCTGATAGGGAAACACGAAAACGAAGAACCCTGTGATAGGACATTGAAACATCTATCATAAAGAGACCAGCAGTACCATACCGACACCATCAAAGAGTCATCATCTCAGACATCTCTGCAACAGGACCCATGGAAGGATGATACGTAGTCGGCTTTCCATGCATGACTTTCTGCCATGAAGGGCTCTTTTCCTTCGCCTTGGCCCAACGTTGCAGCTCCAGAGGCACAAGATCTTCGCTGCCTACCTCCAGACATCGCAAGGTAAAAGGGAGCAGATGACTATCGAGTATAGTCGGTCCAACGTCCGACCCAAAGATCCATTGGTCATGGTCCTCATATGAGCCACTCTGTTTACGGTGCTCCACAACCTGTTCAAAAATAGTTTTGAGTTCTGCGCGATGCTTAGCTACAACACCAGGTTGGAAGGCAATTGCGTTATGCTGGTTGTGACTAAAGAGTTCTATAAGTTCAATGCTGCTATTTATTGCATGAGGTATAACTTACAAGGCAAGTTTGGCTTCCAGAGCGGCGCGATACTGGGGACTGATATCAGTCCGTTGGAGCATCTTTTCAACTGGCGACGGATTTCGCTGAGTCATTTCCGCTGTCGGTTTCGGGTTGCTGATTGATAGTCCGTAGACAGCATGCAGCCTTTCGAAGAGATCTCTGACGATGCTCTCATTCTTGCCTCCCAGCATGGCAGGGTAGTGTTTCTCTGCTAGATGAAGAGAGATGGCACGACTCTCAGTAAGAGTTTCTTCGAGGAGGTTGCCCTTCATGGCCGGAACTTGACCTTTTGGGTTGACATTGATCAAGTAATCCTCGCTGAGGTTCTCATGGGCCTTATGGTTGATGAAGTGTAGAGTGATGCTTTTAGGTGGTGTTGCACCATGGGTCGTTGGGCCAAGCTGGATGGTGTGACGGGCCATCATTGAGTAGAGAGAGAAGGGAGAGGAGTAGAGAGTGTACTCGGCGTTCTTCCAGTCTGTCATGATTAGAGCTCCTTTGGCAATGCGAAAGTGTACTACAATTGAGCTGCAGATTGTCTCAAGCTCCGGGCATTGGAGTAGTGAGGTATGTGAGGGGGAAGGTCAAGCAATCAGGTGACCCAAGTCAAAGCAGTGCCAAATATAGTGCATAGAATGCAATGGCACGAACATTCGTGACAAATTTCCAAAAGCAGTTGGATAGGCGTGTGGGTCGCATGATATGATTCTTCTCAGGTATTCCTAAAACTTGTTTGCTATCATTTGTTACTGCAAGGTGACTTGCTCATCGATGCCGATATATCCGAGATGGAGTGCAACCAACAGTGATAAGAATGCGCCGTAATCTGTCTCCGCACATTCGCCAGCAAACATAGACCAACCGCCAATCAGATGTCCAAATCTTTAGGACTTGCAATGAGATCCGAAAACCGGAGGTCATGGCCTCCCCGCTCCCCGGATCACACCATTTACACAGGATGGCAAACAACGTAATGTAGCGGGGCGTATGAAAGACCTCAAGTTATGATATTAATGAGAGGCTGGCCGGGTCATGGCAATGCGAATAATGTCAATTGATTCAAGCAGAAATGATAGGTGACAATTAGGACTGCCAGTAATAAAATACCCTTGAGCCTGATAGCCAACTAATGCCAATAATTGTTAACGCTGCCCTTGGTAATCAGCCACGCTTTGTCCAGAACATCCACAATTTCCTGAGGCAAAGGCCCTTTCTCCAGCAGATCCAAGTTCTGCTCCAGCTGCTTCTTACTGCTGGCTCCAATGATCACCGCATCACCTCGCTCAGGATCAAGCTGTGAGTGATGTTCAATCCAGCGGAAAGCACAATCCATCTCTGTAAGCCCATGCTTTCCAGCTTCATTCCTAATAAGCTCAACAGCATCAAAGATGACGTCTTTCCAGAATCGCCTCCTGTACTTGCGACCTTGAAAGGTGTTTGGATCGAAGCGAGACATGGATTCAATATCTGTATCCTGAGTGTCCCGCTTGTACCGCCCAGTTAGCTGACTTCCGGCCAGTGGACTGAAGGCATAAAATGTGATGCCGTAGTGTTTGAGACAAGGAAATAACTCCATTTCGACTGTTCGGTGAATGGCGTTGTATACTCCTTGATAAACCGTAGGTCGAATCCATCCTTCACGAATACACAGTTCGCTCATATAGGCAACCTCCCAAGCCATGTAGTTACTCACTCCGAGCCTGTTGAACTTGCCCTCCTTGTGCAGGTCATTACAGGCTCTGAGAGTCTCCTCAAATTGGGTGTCGCGGTCTGGTCCATGGAGATACCAGAGATCTATCTTGTCGGTCTTGAGGGCCTTGAGAGACTCATCTAGGTGCTTCCGAAGATCATCGGCAGAATGAGTGATTTTACCAGTCCCATCGTGGATGTTGGGGTATAGCTTGGTGTCAACTCGGAGACCTCGAGCTTGCCAATCCAGCTGCCCAAGGTACTCTTCAGAAGAACCTTGAGCATACACACGAGCTGTATCGACAACTGTACCACCGTGTTCTTGGAACAGATCCAGCATGGCATTAGCTTCCTTGAGATCATGGATACGCGCTTGCTCAACCCCTATTGATGTCAGTGAGAGTCATCTCTTGATGAAAACGCTAGCCTACCTTCTCTCCCAAACGTCATGGCACCGAAAATGACCGGTACACGAGCCTTTTGCGTTTGAGGCATGATGAAAGTAGATGGTGGTCAATTGCAAGAATGTCTAGGAAGAATAGTGGAAATGTCAGAAATAATTGTATGATTGAAGGTCACAAGTTGAATGATTCATCGAGGTCGCGAAACTGTCTGGCCTTTTAAAAGAGGGGTCGGCCAGCAGGTAAACTTGTTCTTGTACTGTAACAGTCAAAGGGCGCGTGGCAGAACCCCCACTACAGAAGCCTGTGTGCCAACAAGATTACTGCATCCTAGTGCTGTTTTGTTGTCGATCAGTGCCGTACCGGTGCGGGGTATTAAGGGCTATAGAGTTGGCTGCAGTATTTATTCTCATAGATAAAGAAACAGGTGACAAATATTCTCCAGTGTTGAACACACACGCACGATCGAAGCGATGAACTAAGCTATACTGAGTAGAGGCTTTTAGTTTTAAAACTTCTACAATCATCGGAGTTCACAAGAGTTATCAGTTCCATGAAGTCAATTTCAACCTAGATAATCAATGTTCCAACGAAGAGCCCGTTCTATTTAGTAAAATGGGAGATAAACGCATCTCGCAATTCAAATGGGTGCTCTGAGGGTCGCGGCAAATCCTTTGAGACGTCCTGGTTGACGACAACAACAATCAGAGCAGTCTTGTCAGCCCATTCAAATGCCTGAATAAGACCTTCAGCACTATCTACAAAGAATTTCTGCTTATAAGGCAAACTTCCACAAAGAGAAAGAAGGTTGTTGGTGCTGATCGGAACAGGCTGATTCCCAGTTGAGCAATGAATGCCATTATGAATCACCACGTGGATCAGCTTGTCCGAGGCTTGGGCAGCCAGAACGGCCACATTGCCCACGTGCATCAAGAAGGAACCATCGCCTTCAACACAAACGACACGGCCTTTGTGATGGCCAATCTGAACGCCAAAGGCGAGCGGGTATGTGTGGCCCATGGCTCCGATGGATAAGAATGCACGAGACAGGTCCTCTTTGTTCTCTTTTCGAACCATGTAAATTTCACGAGAATTACCCCCAACAGAGGATACAGTGACATCTTCTGGGTAGAGTCTCTTGAGAATGATTCTGATAGAGTGTTCCCGCGACAGAGGGGGTTGTCCCTCGGATGAACGCCAATCTTCAGGTCTGACTGAATGTTTGGCGAGGTTTGTGACAGCTGGGTGCCAAACACCATTACTGGCTTCATGATCTGGCTTGTATGCAGCAAATCTGTGGTTGGGGATGACAAGAGCAACCGGAGTGCTCCCCTCCTTGGCGGCTTTGACGAGTCTTCCGACTGCAGCCTTGGTTTCTTCAAGAGTGTCTGGTAGGATCTCATAAGGAAACCCCTGCGACTCCAGAGTCTCCAAGGTGCGAGGGCCAGCTAAGAGATGTTCTGGCTCATCATGCTCTCCTGGACGCCCACGCCAGCCGACCATAAGAAGCATTGGAATTCCAAACACTTCTTTGGCAGCCAGGGACTGTAGAGGGTTCAAAGCATTCGCAAGACCCGAGTTCTGCATGTATGCAACGGCGAGACTCTGAGTTGACAGATAGTAACCTGCAGCCAGCGCAGCAGCAGCACCTTCACTGGCTGTGACGATCTGTTCTGGCGACTTTTTGTTTGCATACAAATATGCTAGGAATCCCTTCAAACAGGAGTCAGGGACACCAAATGCATGAGTGATCCCATTATCGGCAAGTGCCTGCTCGTAGAACAAACGAGGATCAATGGTAGTCATGGTGGTTACACTCTGCAAGAAACTATAGTGGCTTTGAAAGTGTTGTACGAGAATCTTGCTATTGTAGAGGTCATGATGGAAGTGCTTGGGATATTGATTGTTGTAATGATGCATCGAACGGTCTCTTGCCCCCACGAAGACAGGCAAACTTTCGGGGATACGGAGTCAACACGAACTCCTAAATTGGATATTCCGCGCCTCCAAAAGATTGTAACCATGATCATGCGACGACTTTCCTTTTCGAGATGATACTTTTCCATGCAGTGAGCCCACGGCTTCTTTCATCAGCGACTATCATTTCGGCTGCAATACTACGTTGATACATGCCGAGATGACGTGGCCTGCTTGATTGGAGTATCTCGTTAATGTTACTGGCTGAGAAAGTACCCAAGCGCAGGTCGTTACTGTGACCGGTAACTGTACCCTTCTCGTGATATCTTGAGCACGAGTTTCACAGTGTTTGTCCGAGCGTGCAAGGATCATCATATCATCCGGGATGGGGGTCGAGGCCTGCGATTACAAAAATACAGCATAAGCTTTCTGACAAGCATGATTAGCGTTGGAAAGGATGTGTCGCACCGAGATACAAAAAAGAGAAGATCAAGTTTCATGGTGTTATGCATCAGTAACATGGACAATGGCATCATTGGAAGGATTTGAGATGATCTATGCTAATTGGCGTATCTACGCGACCAAGTCCTTGTCCTACGGTCTTACCATGCATGTATGTGCCCCAATCTGGGGATGTAGACCACTAAACTAGCTCCCCGCTTATCATTTGGGGAGGAACCGACCGCGAGAGGAGCTGGAGGGAAATTATTTGGTGGGTTCCCTCGGGGAAATGACAGGGGTCTAATCGCATAAGGTTGGCTGGCCTTTCAGTCTTTTCACACTGTCGATACTCACACGGCGTATGCACTCTCCTGCAAGACTACAGGTACGGGTCGCAAACCCTGGCCCCAGCTACTACCCGGCACTATCTTATGCTTCTTTCAGTTGCCGCCCCTAAACATGTCCGTGCCGAGATATCCGTGAGACGCGGGCTCTTGTCGATGTTGCATTTTACTAACCCTACACCTCCTCCGCGAAATAGTGGGGGGATGAAACCATCACGATTCATGGCAATGATAGCATCGGCATCTGGGATCTATACGCGCCACCATGCGAAAGGATCCGCTGTCTGGATGGTGATGGAAGACCGGCTGGGGATTGAGGATGGCACGTATCATCAGAGGTTTACGTCTCGGGCAGCTCACCTATTCTGGTTATGGATTGTCGCTTCATCTATCCAAATCCGTTTCTTCTGAGTTTGTCGAAAGATAAGCATTTGGTCTCATCAAATCGTGTGCAGCAGACTTCCAAAGGCTGGCTTACCTAGTGGTGAAATTGCTTACAGTCATACTACTTTTCCGCTCGCCCTCAGTCTCGACAGTCGTTTGATACATCGAATATCACAATGTTAAACTACTTGCTGGCTTTAATAGTATTCATAGTCATAGCGCAAGGTACGCGTCTGTCAGAGAGCTTGTAGCCGGAATTTGTACACTAATGGGTACCTGTAGCTGAGTCGTCAACATCGACTGTTGTTC